GGATAGACACAGGAAAGAGGTAACTATTGGGAGGAAGTGGGAGGGGAGCTGTTGCATTGTGGTAAATTGTGGTCAATGTCATGAGACAGTGTATGTGAACTGCTGTATGGAAAGTGAATTTGCTCTGTAAATCTTCACCCAAATCATGTGTTGCTTATCACTGGTGATTGGAATGCAAAAGTTGGAAACAAGAATCACCGGTAGTTGGAAAATTTGGCCTTGGTGACAGAAATAACACTGGAGGTTGCATGATAGAATTTTGCAAGACTAACAACTTATTCATTCCAAATAACTTTTCTCAACAACACAAACAGTGGCTATACACATGGAGCTCGCCAGATGGTGTACACAGGAATCAGATTGACTACACCTGTGGCAAGACGAGATGGAAAAGCTCAATATCTTCAGCCAAAACCAGGCCAGGAGCTGATTGTGGAACAGACCATCAACTGCTCATATCCAAGTTCAACTTGAAGTTGAAGACAATTTAAAACAAGTTCACGAGAGCCAAAATAGGACCTTGAATATATTCCTGAATTTAGAGACGATCTAAGGAATAGATTTGATGCATTGAACACCAGTGACTGAAAACCAGAAGAATTGTGGGATGACATCAAGAGCATCCATGAAGAAAGCAAGAGGTCATTAAAAATATGAGAAAGAAAGAAAAGACCAAAATGGATGTCAGAGAGACTGTGAAACTTGCCCTTGAGTGAACAGTAACTAAAGCAAATGGAAGAAATGACAAGATAAAAGAACTGAACAGAAGATTTCAAAGAGCAGCTTGAGCAGACAAAGCCAATTACTATAATGAAATGCACAAAGACCTGGAGTTAGAAAACCAAGAGGGAAGAACACGCTCAGCATTTCTCCAGCTGAGAGAACTGAGGAAAAAATTTAAACCTCAAGTTGGAATATTCAAAGGTTCTATGGGCGAAATATTGAGTGATGCAGGAGGCATCAAAAGAAGATGGAAGGAATGCACAGAGTCACTTTACCAGAAAGAACTGGTCAATCTTCATCCTTTTCAGGAGGTGGCATATGTTCAAGAACTAATGGTATTGAAGGAAGACGTCAAAGCTGCACTGAAAGAATTGATGAGAACAAGGCCCCAGGAATTGATGGAATACCCATTGAGATGTTTCAACAAATGGATGTCCTGCTAGGGGCACTCACTTGGTTATGCCAAGAGATTTGGAAGACAGCTATCTGGCCAACTGATTGAAAGAGATCCATATTTGCACCCATTCCAAAGAAAGGTGATCCCACAGACTGTGGAAATTATCAAACAATATCATTAATACCGCATGCAAGTAAGATTTTACTGAAAGTAATTCAAAAATGGTTATAGCAGTATATTGACAGAGCACTTCCAGAAATGCAAGCTGGATTCAGAAAAGGACATGGAATGAGGGATAGATGTCAGATGGATCTTGGCTCAAAGCAAAGAATACAGAAAGATGTTTACTTGTTTTATTGACTATGCGAAAGCATTTGATAGTGTGGATCATAACAAATTGTGGATAACATTGAGATGAATGGGAATTCCACAACACTTAATTGCACTTATGAGGAACCAGTACATAGACCAGGAGGGTGTCATTCAAACAGAACAAGGGGACACTGCATGGTTTAAAAATCAAGAAGGGAGTGTGTCAGGCCTGTATCCTCTCGCCATACTTATTCAGTTTGTATGCTGAGCAAATAATCCAAGAAGCTGGACTATATGAAGAAGAACATGGCATCAGGATTGGAGGAAGAATCATTAACAACCTACGATATGCTGATGACACAGCTTTGCTTGCTGAAAGTGAGGATGACTTGAGGTGCTTACTGATAAAGATTGAAAAATACAGTCTGCAGTATGGATTACATCTCAATATAAAGAAAATAAAAATCCTTACAACTGGTCCTATAAGCAACATTACAATAAATGGAGAAAAGATTGAAATTGTCAAAGACTTCATGTTGCTTGGTTCTACAATCGATGCCAATGGAAGCAGCAGTCAGGACATCAGACAACGATGGATAGCACTGGGCAAATAGGCTGCAAAGGACTTCTTTCAATTGCTGAAAAGCAAAGATGCCTCCTTGAGGACTAATGTGTGCCTGACACAAGGCATGTTATTTTTAATTGCCTGGTATGCATGTGAGAGCTGGACAAAGAAAAAGGAGAACAGAAGAATTGATGCTTTTGAGCTGTGGTTTGGTGAAGAATGCTGAAAGTAGCATGGAGTGCTAAAAGAACTAACATGTCTGTCCTAGAGGAAGTACAGCCAGAATGCTCCTTGGAGGTGAGAATGGCCAGACTTCATCTCACATACTTTGGTCATGTCAGAAGGGACCATTCCCTGGAGAAGGATGTCATGCTTGGTAAGGTGGAAGGTTGACAAAAGAGGAGAATTCTGGCCCTCAACAAGATGGATTGATGCAGTGGCAGTGGCAATGGGCTCAAGTATAGCAAGAATCGTGGAACTGGCTCAGGACCAGGTGGTGGTTCATTCTGCTGTGCACAGGATTGCTATGAGTTGGAGATGACTCGACAGCACCTAACAACAACAACTGGTGGTGTAGTGCCTAGGGCATTTGACTGCTAACCAGAAGGCTGGCGGTTCAAACTCACCAACCGCTCCACAGAAGGAAGACTGGGCAATCTACTTCCATAAAGATTTACCGCCTTGGAAACCCAATGGGGGTTGCTCTTAGTCAAAATTGACTTGATGGCAGTGAATTTGGTTTGGTGATTATTTGTAGGGGCAGGGAAGAGGGAGCAAAGAGGAGAATAGCAACCCTGCAGTCAGGAGATTGCTGTCAGGTGTTCCCAGCAGGAATATTTTGGTGCAGCATGCCTTATATCTTGCTGCCATGTAAATACCTTTGTTACTGAATGTTTTCTACCCTTCTTCCAATTTTATACTGGTTAATTCAAAAAATGGATTAACTTGTAACAAAGTTTCCTTTATAACAAACTTAGAATCTTCTTTAAAAAGAAAAAAAAACAAACCCACTGCCATCAAGTCATTTCTAACTCAAGGCAACCCCAATTGGTTTTCCAAGGTTGTAAATCTTTATAGAACTAGATTGCCCCAGTGAAGAAAACTTAAGATTCATGGAAACAATTAGTCCTAGCAACTGGTACACCATGTGATCCACAGCCTATACGACTATGAGACCAGAAGAACTAGAGGGTGCCCAGCTACCACTGTGAACCACTTGGAGGAGGATCTATATAGGAGATCCTGGATAGAGAAGGAGAACAATGTGGAACAAAACTCAAAATCATTTGGAGAAAAAAAAAGGGGGGGGGCAGTTTTGCTGGTCTGATAGAGCCTGGTGGAACCATTGAGACTATGGCCCCTAGCTGCCCTTCAGGTCTGGAATTGAACCCACACCTGTGGCTTCCAGCCAAGCAAAAGACAGGCATATGAGTTGAACATTTACCTGAGGTAGGTACACTCCTTGGAGAGAACAATCATGGGAGAACGAAGGGCTGTTTATGCACAGAGAGACAGCTCAGGGGGCAGGAGGGCACTGAGGGATGGACACCAGGTAATTATCGGGAGGAAGTGGGAGGGGCTGTTGCACTGTGGTAAATTGTAGTCATTGTCATGAGACAAAGTATATGTGAACTGCTGTATGGAAAGTGAATTTGCTCTGTAAAGTTTCACCCAAATCACAATTTAAAAAAAAAAAGAAGAAACAGCAGATTGCCCCATCTTCCTTCCATGGAGTAGCTGTTGGATTTGAACTGCCAGTCTTTTGGTTAGCAGTCAGATGCTTTAGGCATTGCACCACCAGAGCTCCTTTTAATAAGCAGAGTGCTTATTTTAAAATATTTCTGGTCCTCTTTGTCTTTGACTGGTGAGAAATGATTTTGGAATGAGGTATTTGACCTGACGCCTTTCTCTATGCCCTCTTTTTCTCTGTAGGTGGCATTGCCAGAACCTACACAGATCAATGTGTGCAGATTTTAACAGAGTTGCTGGGACTTCGACAAGAACATATCACCACAGGTAAAAGCTACCTTTCCAGATATTTTTGTCAAATGCCTTGTCTGTAGTAGTTGCTCCAAAAATATTGTTGAATTAATCATAAAGTTTTTTTTTTTTTTTTTTTTTAAATCTCTTCCTTGTATTATCTTCTGTCCCTGTTGGAGAGGAAAGATCTCATAGAGTAAAGAGTCCTCAGGCTGCCACAAGTTGATAGGTCTGTACTGTAGATAACAGGGGGGTTTAACAGAGAGGTACTAGGATGACCTTGCTTATTATTTCCCACCTCCATCCCTATTCTCATAGAGCCCTGGTGGTGCAAATGAAAGGTTGGCAGTTTGAACCCACCCACTGGGTCTGTGAGAGACAGACCTGGCAATCTGCTCCCATGATGATTACAGCAGAGCAGTGATGACTGTCACATGGGTCACTATGAGTCTAAATCGACTTGATAGTGGTTAACAAGAACAACAACTCCCTCTTAGGAGACCCTGGGTAGCACAAACAGTTAAGTGCTCAGCTGCTAACTAAAAGGTTGGAAGTTCAAATCCACCCAAGGACACCTTGGAAGAAAGCCCTGATGATCTATTTCTGAAAGATTATAAGCTATTGAAAACCCTGTGGAACACAGTTCTACTCAGACACATAGAGTCGCCATGAGTCAGAACTGACTCAGTGGCAACTGGTATCCCCTCTTTTTGCTTTATGGAAGTTTACTATAGGCAGTGTCTTTCAGAGCTGAGATGAGGGTAAGGCAAATGAAATGCCTAGAATGACAAATTTAAGAGACACTCACTCTCAGGCTTGTGCAAATGCCAACTCTTGAGCATCTTACATTTTGTGCTCTATGCATATTGCTTGCCTCACCTTGGCCCTGGCCCTGGTGGCTCCAGGTATACTGTCTTGAAAGAATCAACAGCAGCAACAACACCATGTTTGCATACATCTTTATGTTTGCAAAGTACTTTCCTATACATTAGCTCATTTATCCTCATGGCAATTAAGAGCAACTATTCATTCAAGAAATTATTGCCCATATCTGACATTTCCCCAGATAATCACTGATCACAACTTCAACACCCATTTCACAGAAATTCATTCAGAAATCTAATTTGAGTATATATCTCTTAAGATTCCTTCAAGCAGGAGAACAATGTGGAACAAAACTCAAAAACATTTGTTGGGGAGGGACCAGGTTTGCTGGTCGATAGAGCCTGATGGAACCACTGAGACTGTGCCCCCTAGCTGCCCTTCAGGTCTGGGGTTGAAACCACAACTGTGGCTTCCAGCCAAACAAAAGACAGGCATAGGAGTTGAACATTTACCTGAGGTAGATACACTCCTTGGAGAGAACAATCATGGGAGAAAGAAGGGCTGTTTATGCACAGGGAGACAGCACAGGGGGCAGGAGTGCATGGAGGGATAGAAACAGGGAAGAGGTGACTGTCAGGAGGAAGTGGGAGGGGAGCTGTTGCATTGTGGTGAATTGTGGTCAATGTCATGAAACAAAATGTATGTGAAATGCTGTATGGAAAGTGAATTTGCTCTGTAAATTTTCACCCAAATCACAATTAAAAAGAAAAAAAAGATTCCTTCAAGCATGGTGGCTTTAATCTTGTTATCTTGTACCTTGGGCTGTGTTGTAGTGGTGGTGCAGACTTTCCGAGACCTGGTTTGGTTGTGCCCTCAGTGTACCGAAGCTGTGTGTCAAGCCCTGCCCGGCTGTGAGGAGAACATTCAAGATAGTGAGGTAATCTGTAATCCTCCTTTAAATTGAGGCAGAAAGGCAATGCTTGTGACCCAACCCTCTGAAATGGAATCTCATTATTCATTCTACTCAGGGTCTGAAGTAGAAACTTAGAATTGATTGCCAACTCAAGTTTTCTTTTGGATGTAAATGATTTATAAATTATAAAAGCATTAGGATTTATATATGGTTGTTATTACACATACTTTGATGTTACTGTTCTCTTGAACAGTTTTGAGTCAGAGCTTTAGCCTGTAGAATTTTCATCTGCAATGAGAATCAGGATCACCTGAGGGATTTTTACTACTCTTTGGACTTTACCCTGCTCAAGTCTACTGACTTAAATCTTCAGGGGTATGGGGCCTAGGCACATATATTTTTAAGAACCTCCACAGATCATTCTATAAATTACTAACCACTTTAATGAAGTAATTGGAAATTGCTTTAGTTGCTTCCTCTGAAACATTAAACCTCAAATTGGGGCATAGGCTCCAAAGCTGAGGAAGCATTATTGCCTAACACCATATGTATGAGATTTGAGATTGTCTCTTGTTTCATCCCCTTTCGTGCATTGGAATTTCATTCCTGTTTGTTGTAGGGTCAGATTTAGGGCTAGTGTTTGAACTGATACAAGCTGAAGTAAATAAAAGATGGTATTTTTCTGCTGGCACTAGGGAAAAAGTAAAGCCAGAAATTGTCTCCTATCTCCTGTGTTCTAGACAGCCAAGTGTTGAGTACCTGTTCTTATTTTTTCATTCTTTAGGGGAAGCAGGCACTTATTTGGCTTCTTGGTGTCCATGGGGAAAGAATTCCCAATGCTCCTTATGTGTTGGAGGACCTTGTAGAGCATGTGAAGTCAGAGACGTTTCCAGCTGTTAAAATGGAGCTACTCGCTGCACTGCTGCGCCTTTTCCTCTCTCGACCTGCTGAGTGCCAGGACATGCTGGGGCGTTTACTATATTACTGCATAGGTAGGTTCTTCAGAAGGAAATAGTACTTGCCTGAACCATAATAGAAATTCTCACAGCTCTCACTGGTGAGTCAGGTGGAGACCTGAGAAGAAAATGTGAATGTTTTTGTTTCCTCCCTCTTCCTTCTTCTTTTTTTTTTTTCCTATTATGGTTGGCACAAGTAATAGGAGAATGTTTTTGTTTTTAAATTACTCGGTCTGTTGTCTTACTTCAGAGGAAGAAAAGGATATGGCAGTACGGGACCGAGGTCTTTTCTATTATCGCCTCCTCTTGGCTGGTATTGATGAAGTTAAGCGGATCCTGTGTAGCCCTAAATCTGACCCTTCTCTTGGACTTTTGGAGGATCAGGCAGAAAGACCTGTGAATAGCTGGGCCTCAGACTTCAACACATTGGTGCCAGTGTATGGCAAAGCCCGCTGGGCAACCATCTCTAAACTCCAGTGGACAGAGCGCCATGGCCCAGAGCTTCCTAACACTGCATCCTTTGCCACATCAGGTAAAAATAACCCTTATGTTACCTATTATAATAGGTAACATAATAATAGATAATAATTTATCTTTTGCAGTGACTGGTAAAAACTAGGGTGCCCTAGGTAAATCTCAGGCTATTACCAGTATTAACCATTACCAGTATTAACCTATTATCATAGTAAATCTTTATCTTTTGCAGTGACTGGAAAAAACTACGGTGCCCTAGGTAAATCTCAGGCTATTACCTGAGTTTGAGCCTTTGTTAACAAAAAAAGAAATCCATCATTGATTATTAAGCCATTTATCCAAAGATAAAAATCACATTGTGCACTTGGAGAATTTAGATTAAAAATGTACCTCCTATAGATGAAGAACTTATCTTACACAAACTTTCTGACCTTTTTAGGACCCTTAATTCCTGAAGAGGACAAGGAACGGATACAAGAACTCCCTGATTCTGGAGCCCTCATACTAGTCCCCAATCATCAGATTACTGCTGAATATTTTGAGAAAACTTGGCTTCGCCTCAAAGTTGCTCACCAGCAAATGTTACCATGGCAGGGAGCAGTCCATCCTGACACCCTCCAGATGGCCCTGCAGGTAGTGAACATCCAGACCATTGCAATGAGCAGGGCTGGGGCTCAGCCGTGGAAAGCCTACCTCAGTGCTCAGGATGACACTGGCTGCCTGTTCTTAACAGAGCTGCTGTTGGAACCTGAACATTTAGAAATGCAGATCTCGGTGAAACAAAATGAAGCAAAGACTGAGACACTGAACAGTTTTATTTCTGTGTTACAAACTGTGATTGGAACAATTGGAGTCATAAAATCATAGCAGATCCTGGCTGCGTGTCGTAAGATGGATAGCTGTTAGAGTTCCTTAGTGTTTCTTGTTAGAGCTGCCTATAAATCCATGGAATATCAGATGCAAAGGAGAATGGGAAATCTAGGAATCAGGATTCTTATGTTTTGTTTTTTGACTTACTTCCTCTTATACCTGTTGGTGAACGACCCCACCTTCCCATGGCAGTATTGTAAAGGTTAATATTGGTAGTAGATATTGCATTTTTGGGATAGGGTGAAAATGGAATTTGAGTTTTTTCTAATAAATTTTTGGGATTGTTTACTGAAAACATCTGGTGTTTGTGGTAACTGATTCCCTTACATGGAGATCATCTTTTTATTCCTGGATTATTGCAATAAATTCTTGATTGTTCTCATATTTCCAATCATGCTTTTTAGGCCACAGTCTAAAGTCCTACTGTGGCTTCTAAAGTCCTTTATGATCTGTGTTCTACTTACCTCTTCAGTGTCATGTCACATTACTCCCAAAGCACCCTCTGTTTTGGCAAAAGCAAATTGCTTGCAGTTCCTTGTATGCACTGGGCTTTCTCTCATCTCTATGCCTTGGTACCTGCTTTTATTTCTTGCCTAGAACATTTCCTCACCCCCTTATCTTCTTTAAGGAGTTCTGGTGGTACAGTGGCTAAGCATTTGGCTGCTAATTAGAAGGTCGGTGGTTCAAACCCACCAGCTGGTCCATGGAAGACAGTGAGGCAATCTACTTCTGTAAAGATTTACAGCTTTGGAGACCCAATGGGGGTTGCTGTGAGTTGGAATCGACACAATGACAGTGAATTTGCTTTTTGGAGTTATCTTTTTTATTTAAGTAACTCCTAGTCTTTAGTCAGTGTTCAGGTTAGTTACAAATTCCCTTCAGGAAGTTTTACATGATCCTCACTATATTAATTAAGAGTCTCCTTCAGGCTGTCAAAGAAGCCAGTACACATCTCTGAGCATTACTATGCTTATTTATTATTTATTGAAGTTGTATATTGTCTGTCTTTTAATTTTATTTATACTTGACTATATACATTAATTGAGACAAAATAGGGTAAGAATAGATTAAATGATGGTAAAATATAAATAAGACCAAGAATCTAGAACCAAACCAAACCAAACTCACTGTTGTCGAGTCACTTCTGACCCTCAGTGACCCTTCTTTGGGTTTCTGAGGCAGTGTCTCTACAGAAGTAGATTGCCCAGTTTTCCTTCCCAGGAGTGGCTGGTGGGTTTGAACTGCCAGCTTTCTGGTTAGCAGTCAGATGCCTTAGGCACTACACCACCAGAGCTCCTAGAATCTAGAACAAGGAAGATCAAAATACCAGTTAAGACCAGTTGGGGTGGAGGTGGGGAGGTAAACAAATGTTCAGGCTGCAAGTACCCCCATAGTTGATTTAGTTGAGCCTCAGATTTGGCTCTATAAGAGAGTTGGCAGTTGGAGTGAAGGGAAACATATATAATTGGCATCAGAGAAGAAGAAACTTTTCAATTCTGATTTCTATATGAAATTTCCATAGTAGGTAGCACTGAGTCATAGTACAAGATTCCTATAGGAAGTTGGTAGAGTTTCACGTGACTTTCTTAGGTTGTTCTTCAGTGAAAGCAGAGTATAGCGTACTCGGAGCTTAATGAAGGCATTTCTTCAAGGGCTTAACATAATGTGACCTAAGTGTATAGCCTTCAGCATCCAGCCTAATTCAAGTACTTCTATTGTGTAGATACATAGATGGACTATATATCTTTTAGATATTTTTTCACACATCACGTTATTCAGCTAGATCCTTAATAGATGTATAACACAATTGGTGAGGGCCAACGTTTTGTGAGTTATTTGTTAGAGTCTTCCCCTCTGCCTTCTAAGGACAGTGATTGTCTCTGTGCCCAAAGTATCTGCCACATAGTAATTAATAAGTATTCATTGAATGAACGACTGTAAGTAATTAGCTCGTGTACTGTGAAATGTGTTTTGTTATATCACCTATACAGAAAATAATGGAATTTCCTCTAGACCCGAATCAACAGCAGCGCTATTAACATTTGTGGCCAGATAATTCTTTATTTTGTTGACATCCATGTGCATTGTAGGATGATTAGTAGCATGCCTGACCTCTATCCAAGGAGACCTGATGGCACAATGATTAAAGCATTCAGTTGCCAACCAAAAGGTCATCGGTTTAAACCTATCAGCCGCTCCACAGGAGAAAGATGTGGCAGTCTGCTGCCGTAAGGATTACAGCCTAGGAAACCCTATGAAGCAGTTCTCCTCTATCCTGCAGGGTCGCTGTGAGTCAGAATCAATATGAAGGTAGTGGATTGGGTTTGGTTTTGGCCTCTACCCACTAGATTCCTGTACATCCCCAGTTGTAACCATTAAACATGTCTCCAGACATGGCAGAAATCCCCACCAGTTGAGTGAGAATCACTGATTTAGACCGTGTATCCCCAGGACAAGAGGGAGAGGGATCAGATGAACTTCCGAACTGCTTTTTCATATTTTGTTCAGTTAATTGAGAATGTTTAATTATGTACTAAAATAAAATTGAAGTGTGGAGTGCTGCTAATTTAAAGTATTGCAAAGGAATAGGATGCAAGTAGTAGAATTTGAGTACACTGATTTTTTAAAAATTAAAGACTAACTGAGATGATAACCAGGGAGCTCTGGTGGCATAGTGCCTAAGGCATTTAACTGCTAACCAGAAGCCTGGCAGTTCAAACCCACCAGCTACTCCTCGGAAGGAAGGTTGGACAATCTACTTCAGTAGTGATACTGCCTCGAAAACTCAAGGAGGGGTCACTACGAGGCAGATCTGACTCGATGGCAGTGAGTTTTTTTTTTTTTTTTTTTTTAATGATAACCTAAAGAAAATTTAGTATGGCTCAGCAGTCAAATAAATAATGCTACTAAGGCGATCCAACTATTGGCACTTTTGGAAGATTAAGTTCTATTTGGTTGCTTTTCTATGACTCAGAATCAACTAAAAGGCAGTGGGTTTGGTTTTTGGTTTGGTTGCTTTTCTGTAATAAAAGGAGCATAGCAGAATATGAAATCACTGCTTTTAGAAAGTGTAATTTTCAAATGATTCCAATGAAGAATTGATTTAACTGTAGTCTGGTTCTACTAATTTATAAGCAAAATGACCAAAGCATAAGTATACAAGTTAATTCTTTAATATTCCTTCCCCTAGGAACCTCACTGCCTGGCTCTGCAGACACAGGGCTTGATGATGTGATATAAATGGATCATTTGTCTTTTAAAATCCATGAAAGTAATGGATGCTGTGCTTTTAGAACAGTGGTCTTCAACTGTCTCTCTTGGAGCTATGTAACTCATGTAATGAGTACCCACAAATGACAGCAGTGCTGGGGAACATTGCAGAGACAATAATTTACATGCTTCCTAACCTTAATTTTACTGCTAGGAACCATTCCCTGGAGAAGGATATGGTTTGTAAAGTGGAGGGTCAATGAAGAAGGGGATGGCCCTCAACGAGATGGATAGACACAGTGGCTACAACAATGGGCTCAGGTTTAGCAAGGATCATGAGGCTGGCATGGGACGGGGCAATGTTTCGTTCTGTTGTGCATAAGGTCACTATGAGTCAGAGATGACTTGACGGCACCTAACGACAACATGGACCAGTGATTGTTATATACCTCCCGTTCCCCCCCATCCCTTTTCCAAATGGGAATTCTGTTTTAATTTTCTATTTCTTTCACACTAAAGTATGTTGTGTAATGGGAGGAGGGGTAAATAATTTGTTTTCTTAGTTGCTGTTGCTGTTGCATTGAGTCACCTCTGACTTATAGTGACCTCATGTGTTCAATCCAGAGTAGAACTGCTCCTTAGAATTTCTTGGCTATAATCTTTACAGAAGCAGATCACTAGGTCCCTATCTCCCATGGTGCCATGGGGTACATTTGAACCATCACGGTGTTTTTTTTTTTTTTTTTTTTGAGATTAATAATCAAGCACAAACCATTTGTGCCACTCAAGAGATCCTGTTTTCTTACTTATAGGCCTTCATATGGAGAGGAATTGTACCCTCATATCCTTACCCACATGCAGACCTGGTACAGTTGATAACTTTGAGCCAGTAATATAATGAGATGAAGTTTTTTGGGGAGGAATGTAAATTGTTGTGGGCAGGTGGCAAGAGAAGCAAGTGGTAGTGAAAAATTCTGGCCTAATCATATTCCAGTAATAATTAGGAGCACAACCTTAGAACTATAAGTGTAAAGGTATGTGGATTAGGAGGAAGGAGTGGTTTGGGAAGATGTGTGGAAAACCCAAACAGAATTAAAAAGGAGGAAAATTTACCTCACATTGCCCATGAGACAGGATGCTCTATATAGTCTAATAATACTAATTATATAAGATAATGCAAAGAAGTCCAAATTAGACTCTGATATGGAATTTTCTCATAAATGTGTCCTGTGTCCATAATGAAATGTGGAAGGTGGTTTATTATTGTTGAAAGAGTATGAGTTTTGAGTAAGACAGACTTAGATTTACATTTCTATTCTGCCACTGAACTGATGTGTGGTCTTGGGTAAGTTCTTTTATACATTTGATGGTCTCAATATAAATGTTCTTTGTTTTGTATATTGATTTTAGGAGTAGATTGTAAATTTATTTGATACTGTGATGAGCCAGAGATGAAAAATAACAGTAAGTTCATTCAGGATATAGCTGTTAGTTAATAATGGACATATACACAATAGTGTTTTTATAAACTTCATTACTTCCATAGTAACTGAGATAGACAGGAAAGGATAAAATTTTATCTTGGACCATGTCCTGGAAATTTCCCAGGGGGTTTGAAATTTCCCTTTGGATGAGTTTGGAGAAAACAAAAAGTCTGTCAGAGGGTCCCGTTACCAGCATGAGTTTTACTAAGAATAAGAGGGAAAAAACAAAATCAAGAGAGAGGAAGAAAGCGAGCATTTACAAAGTGATACATAAAAGGTAGACACAGGCTTACACAACTTGCTAAAAGCTTCTTCTGATCCAGTGCATGCAGCCAGGCTGAAATGGATCTAAGAATATCTGCAGAAACCCACCCATCTTTTGGGAAGATTTATACCTGAGTTTAGGGGATTGAGGACAGGGTCTAACTGACCAAGACTGGAAGGCTACGTGACTGGTTTCCAGTCTTAGTGGCACTTGGGAGAGGGTCCCGGCAGCACTTTCAGAACCACCTGTATTTGCTTTGATAAAGTACTGCTGGTTTAGAGCTTTAATTGCCCGACCAAACCAAAACCAAATTCATGGCCGTCTAGTCGAATCCAACTCATAGCAACCCCTCCTT